GACCTGATCCTACTATTTGCTGCAGGAGAGTGCTAAATGGGCCTGGGATCCAGGACTGCAACTGCCCTGCTATGTCCAGCTGAACCACGTGTTTCCCATTAGAATATAGGACTGTCTTTGGGGGTCCTGGAAATAAGACAGAAGAAAAATTTGTGAATGGTTCTTCCTCTCAAGACAGCACATCCCCACCACAGTCCATGCACTGAGGAGTGGGAAGTGGGGAGGGAAAAATGTGGGTTCCCCCTCTGAAATCCAGGAGACCTGAAGTTTTCAGAGACTACTTTTCATTGAGCTGATGATCTGTGGCTGCTGGATACCTCTCCACATAGTATCACCTGGCAATAGGTCTGTGCAGATCCACACTAACAGTTTTGAACTTGTTCCTCCTTCTCCCCTCTCCAACAGGCTATGCCTGTTATTGAAATTCTGCTTGTGTCTCCTTGCTTTTGGTGCTCTTCTGGAAGCACTCATCTGTAGACATAGCTGCTGTGGAGTATCTCAGTAGAGGAGTGGGCAAACACTGTACTTCTCCATATGGCCAACTTAAATCTCCAACTTGATTTTTTAATTAGGTTTCCTCCCACCATCAAATCTGACATAGCAGAGAAAAAGACAGATGCTATAATCTGTGTTCAAAATTGCTTTAACAGAGCTTAGAATGAGTAAGTGTTGGAAATTAATTCTGGATCCATCTGTCACTCACTAAGCATCAGACAGCCTGGAGGAAACTTATTAAGAACTCAGATCCTTAACATCTCTTGCACGTATTAGAAGACCCAACTAGAGAAGCTTGTCTAATTCCTAGTGACAGAAATCTTTGTAGGAGAAAAAATGAGTTGCTAGCCTCTCAGCATTCACAGCCAAGAAGCCAGCTACCCCCTGTCTGCCTCTGTACTCTCACTCCAAGACTGCCTAAGTACTGAGCATGCAGACTGAGCAAGAAGTAAGAATTCCTGGAGTCCAATCTTATCTACAATTGCCAGGTGCATACAACATGATTCCCCAAATTTTAGCCTCAAAAGGACCCCAAGACCAACCCATATACACACGCAGAGTACTCTGATAATCTGGGGGAAGCATCTACTCTCCTCTCACCTGGTTAAAATTCTGAAACCTTTGGCAATTGCTATTCATAAAGAATGCATTCATATTCCCATCTTATATATGAGAAAATAAAACTATAAGTTATATGTTAATTATACTTAGTACTTATTCACTAACTTCTTTTAATCCCCAAATTTATGAAAATCTGACACATGTGAATCCAAATCCAATAAATTCCATTAATTTTTTTCAGATTTGTTCTTGAATTGATGTACTAACTTTGTTCCCTCATTCATCATAGAAGGCTCTAGCCTCAGATCCCCCCAACCTTAAGTGGCCTCATGACTCTCTGAGGAGAATGACATAAATCAGCTTGTGTTCTCCATGTTGGGAATTCACATAGTGTGTGCTATTTAATTCTGGCCACTACCTCTCCCTCAGTAATGTATTTGGAGTTCAGCACAGGAAACCCTGGCACAAATTTCATGATGAGGTTAAATATATTGGAAGATTCAGATTTCCATCAGAAAGGTCTCTAAATTATCTGGCGAACACTCTAATGCTAGTGTCTTATGACCTGTGCATAGCAGAAAAGATCACAAAATGCACAGTGAAGAAGTATGGGGGAAAGTTATTGGTTCCATATAGTACACTAGTGAAATAGTATCTGAAATACTGTCCTATATTAATAATCGCTGTGGGCAGCAGTATCCTGCAATGTTAATGTTTGTGTGGCATTTGTTAACTAAAGTTATGCCTAGTACACTTACTAATTAAATATGCTATATGGATAAGTGATACTTCTGTGAAATAATAAGGGCAAAATGAATTTTACCCTTTGATACTGAGATGCCTAATAGGAAAAGGTACACAAGAATCTCTACTAACTAAAAGTATGTTATAAAGTTTTGCATATTGAACCATTAAGAATCATGGAGAGTCATGAATGTTTGGTGCAGCAGTTAAGATGTCACCTCTTGGGATGCCTGCATCCCATATCAGAATATCTGGGTTCAAGTCTTGGCTCTGAATCAGATTCCAGCCCCTGCTAACATGTGCCCTGAAAGTCAGCAAGTATTGACTCCACTACTTTGATTCCTGCTTGCCATATGGGAGATCCAGGCAGAGCTCTAGGCTCCTAGCTTTAGCCTGGCCCAGCCTTTACTCTTATGGCCATTTGAGGAGTGAATCAGTGAATGGAAGACCTCTGTCTCTATCTCCACTTTCAAATACATTTTAGAAATATTGATTCTTTAAGAAATATTTTATTTATTTATTTGAGAGGTAGAGTTACACACAGATAGAAGTAGAGATCGAGAGAAAGGTCTTCCATCTGCTGGTTCATTCCACAAATGGCCATAATGGCCAGAGCTGGGGCAATCTGAAGCCAGGAGCCAGGAGCTTCTTCCGGGTCTCCCACACAGGTGCAGGAGTCTGAGCACTTGGGCCATCTTCCACTGCTTTTCCAGGCCATAGAATAAAGCTGGATTAGAAGAGGAGCAGACAGGACATGAACCAGTGCCCATATGGGATGCTGGAGCTGCAGGTGGAGGCTTAGCATACTACACCACAGCGCCAGCTTCTTAAATACATTTTTTTAAAATCAAGAATAAGACAAAATGGGGAGTTAAGAGTGATGACAAGCTGGCTAAAAAAGTCTTCAAAACATGAGGGAGTAGTAAGTGATTTAATTTGGTGGCATCAACCTCAAGAGTTTCAAATATCTTTATTATTCAATCAGTGAATTTTAATAGTATTCATCAATAAAAACAAAAAATTTTAAAAATTTATTTTGTGGAAAGGCAGAGTGACAGAGAGGAAAATACAGAGACATAAAGCAGTCTTCTAACCACTGGATCATTCCCCAAAGGGCTACAATGGTCAGGGCTGGGACAAGCCAAAGCCAGTAGCCTGGAACTCTTTCTGGGTTACCCACATAGGTAACAGGGGCCTAGGCACTTGGGCCACTCTCTGCTACTTTTCCAGGTGCATCATCAGGACCTGGATCAGAAACATGGCAGCTGGACATGACCCAGTACTCCCATATGGGATGCCAGCATTGTTGGTGGCGGCTTAACCTGCTGCTCCACAGCGCTAGGCCCTGGAAAGAAACTTTTTATTCTCACAGTTTTTGACTCAACAATTCTGACACTTAAGGAAGGAGCATCAATAATGGTAAAAACTGCATGGGGCCGGCGCCGTGGCTCACTAGGCTAATCCTCCGCCTTGTGGCGCCGGCACACCGGGTTCTAGTCCCGGCCGGGGCGCCGGTTCTGTCCCAGTGCCCCTCTTCCAGGCCAGCTCTCTGCTGTGGCCAGGGAGTGCAGTGGAGGATGGCCCAAGTGCTTGGGCCCTGCACCCCATGGGAGACCAGGAGAAGTACCTGGCTCCTGCCATTGGATCAGCGTGGTGTGCCGGCCGCAGCACGCTGGCCGCGGCGGCCACTGGAGGGTGAACCAATGGCAAAGGAAGACCTTTCTCTCTGTCTCTCTCTTTCACCGTCCACTCTGCCTGTCAAAAAAATAAAATTAAATTAAATTAAAAAAAAAGAAAAACTGCATGCATGGAAATTTGTGACAATACAACTCCAGGAGCTGTATCACAGTGCCTAGGATTATGTGCAGCATCTAGTAGAATCACACAGATAAAAAATGTTTGTGGAATGACTGTCTAATGACAAAAAAGTAAACACAACTGAAGAGGCTAATACATTTAATCTAAGTACATTTAAACTATTATATTGGGGCCGGCACTGTGGCATAGCAGGTAAAGCTGCCACCTGCAGTGCTGGCATCCCATATGGGCACCAGTTCAAGACCCAGCTGCTCCACTTCCAATCCAGCTCTCTGCTATGCTCTGAGATAGCAGTAGAAGATGGCTCAAGTCCTTGGGCCCCTGCTCCCACATGGGAAGACCCAGAGTAAGCTCCTTGCTGCTGGCTTTGGTACAGTGCAGCCAATTGGGGACTGAACCACTGGATGGAAGACCTCTCTCTCTCTCTCTGTCTCTGTCTCTGTCTCTGTCTCTCTCTCTCTCTCTCTCTACCTTTCCTCTCTTTGTGTAGCTCTGACTTTCAAATAAATAAATAAAGCTTTAAAAATGTAATGTTAAGTTTTTAAAAATTATAGTATATATTTTAATGGAACATCATATAGTCATCAAAACTAAGCTTTTGAAAACTATCAATATATGATATGAAATGATGTTCGGCCTAGCGGGTAAGATGCCTGTATCCCATATTATCCCATATCTGAGTGCTTGGGTTCAAACTCACCTCCAGCTTCCTGCTAAGGCAGACCTTGGGAAGCAACAAATAATGACTCAAATAACTGAATCCCTGCCATGCACATGAGACCTGAATTGAGTTTCTGGCTCCTGGATTTTGCTCAGCCTGGTTATTGCAGGCATCTGGGGAAGTGAACCAGTGAATGAAAGGGCTCTCTCAAATAGCTAAACTTTAAAAATAAGACTGGATAAAACATTGTAGGTACATATAAAGCTTAAAAAATTAAAGGAGTTACTCACCTGTTTGTCTTCAGAGCAGTAATAATTACATAAAATTAAAATCAGAAAACATGAATTATATGAAAGATACTTATCTGTTTATGCAATAAATATTTTGCTTCTTCAAGGGAAAATTTAGCTGCAGAGTTTGTAGTACATAGAACTGAAAAATTTAACTGTATATTATATTAATGACTTGATACCTGATAGGTGAAAAGAAGTGAAATGAAATTTTCAGAAGGAAGGAATCTTTAATACTTTTAAACAATTTTAACCATTTAAACATTGATATATAATGACATAGAAAGCACTTTGTTGTACTTTTTAATCATTATGACTTCTCCAAAACATTATGATGGTTTCAAAAACTACTTATACTTTCTTTCAGATTATCTTGTAATATAGAAAATTATAGTAACATAATGATCTATTATATAAATTGTTTGGGTTTACTTTTATTCCAGTGGTAAGAGTCAAATAAGTAAACATTATTTCCAATAAATAATTTATAAAAGTATTAAACACATGTCCAGATAAGTTAAACTTACTAATTAATATATTAAAAGGATATTAACCTTATAATTCTAGGGATCAGGAGGTCAGAGCTATGGCATAGCGGGTAAAGACCCTGCCTGTAGTTCCAGCAACCCATATGTGTGCCTGTTCAAGTCCCAGCTGTTCCACTTCTGGTCAAGCTCTCTGCTATTGCCTGAAGAAGCAGTGGAGGATGGCTCAAGTTCTTGGGCCCCTGAAACCCACATGGGAAGATGTGGAGGAGTCTCCTGGCTCCTGGCTTTGAATCAGCTCAGCTCCAGCTGTTTTGGCCAACTGGGCAGTGAACCAGGAGACAGAAGACATCTATCTGCCTCTCCTTCTCCATGTAACTCTGACTTGCAAATAAATAAAAAGATATTTAAAAAATTCTAGGGATTAGAACACTCAATTATTCTACTTTCTACTTCTGGGTAAATATTTGGGATGTCATTTAATATATGATGAAGTTTTCTATTATGTATCAGTTTAATTTAGAGTTTCAAGATCTATTCTTAAATTTAAAATCAATGGAGTTAATCAATTAATAATCAATGGAGTTCATCAATGATTATTTTTTAAAAAGACTTATTTATTTATTTGAAAGTCAGAGTTACAGAGAGAGATGAGAGGCAGAGAGAGAGAGAGGCCTTCCATTCACTAGCTCACTCCCCAATTGACAGAACAGCTGGAGCTGCACTGATCCAAATCCAGGATCCAGGAGTTTCTTCCAGGTCTTCCACATGGGTGCAGGGGCCCAAGGACTTGGACCATCTTCCACTGATTTCCCAGGCCATAGCAGAGAGCTGAATCAGAAGTGGAGCAGCTGGGACTCAAACCGGTGCCCATGTGGGATGCCAAGACTGAAGGCAGCGGCTTTATCTGATATGCCACAGTGCCAGCATCAATGAGTAATTTTATTTTAACTTTTATTTAATTAATATAAATTTCCAAAGTACAGCTTATGGACTACAATGGCTTTTTCCCCCCAATAACTTCCCTCACACTTGCAACCCTCCCATCTCCTGCTTACTCTCCCATTCCATTCACATCAAGATTCATTTTCAATTATATTTATATACAGAAGCTCAATTTAGTATATACTAGGTAAATATGTCAATAGTTTGCATCCACACAGAAACACAAAGTATAAAGTACAGTTTGAGTACTAGTTATAGCATTAATTCACATAATACAACACATTAAGGACAGAGATCCTACATGGGGAGTAAGTGCACAGTGACTCTTGTTGTTGACTTAACAAATTGACACTCTTGTTTATGGTGTCAGAAATCTGCCTAGGCTCTTCTCATGAGTTCCCAAGGCTATGGAGGACATTTAAGCTCACCAACTCTGATCTTATTTAGACAGGGTCATAGTCAAAGTGGAAGTTCTCTCCTCCCTTCAGAGAAAGGTACCTCCTTCTTTGATGGCCTGTGTTTTCCACTGGGATCTCACTCGCAGAGATCTTTCATTTAGCTCTTTTTTTGCCAGTATGTTTTGGCTTTCCATGCCTAAAATACTCTCATGGGCTCTTCAGCCAGATCTGAGTGTTTCTATTCTATTCCATTGGTCTATCCATCTGTTTCTGTACCAGTACCATGCTGTTTTGATTACAATTGCCTTGTAGTATGTCCTGAAATCTGGTATTGTGATGCCTCCAGCTTTGTTTTTGTTGTACAAGATTGCTTTAGCTATTCGAGGTTTCCTGTGTCTCCATTTGAATTTTAGCATCATTTTTTTCTAGATCTGAGAAGAATGTCTTTGGTATTTTGATTGGTATGGCATTGAATCTATAAATTGCTTTTGGGAGAATGGACATTTTGATGATATTGATTCTTCCAATGCATGAGCATGGAAGATTACAAAAAATCAGCCAAACGAAGAGCTGGTTTTTTGAAAAAATAAATAAAATTGACACACCATTGGCCCAACTAACTAAAAAAAGAAACGACCCAAATCCATAAATCAGAGATGAAAAATGAAATGTAACAACAGACACCACAGAAATAAAAAGAATCATCAGAAATTACTACAAAGAGTTTTATGTCAGCAAACAGGGAAATTGAACAAAAATGGATAGATTCCTGGACACATGCAATCTACCTAAATTGAACCATGAAGACATAGAAAACCTAAATAGACCCATAACTGAGACAGAAATTGAAACAGTAGTGAAAGCCCTCCCAACAAAGAAAAGCCCAGGACCAGATGGATTCTCTGCTGAATTCTATCAGACATTTATAGAAGAACTAACTCCAATTCTTCTCAAATTATTCAGAACAATTGAAAACGAGGGAATCCTCCCAAATTCTTTCTACGAAACCAGTATCACCTTAATCCCTAAGCCTGTAAAAGATGCAGCATTGAAAGAAAATTATAGACCAATATCCCTGATGAACATAGATGCAAAAATCCTCAATAAAATTCTCACCAATAGAATGCAACAACACATCAGAAAGATCATCCACCCAGACCAAGTGGGATTTATCCCTGGTATGCAGGGATGGTTTAATGTGTGCAAAACAATCAATGTGATACACCACATTAACAGACTGCAGAAGAAAAACCATATGATTATCTCAATAGATGCGGAGAAAGCATTTGATAAAATACAACACCCTTTCATGATGAAAACTCTAAGCAAACTGGGTTTGGAAGGAACATTCCTCAATACAATCAAAGCAATCTATGAAAAACCCACAGCCAACATCCTATTGAATAGGGAAAAGCTGGAAGCATTTCCACTGAGACCTGGTACCAGATAGGGATGCCCACTCTCACCACTGCTATTCAATATAGTTCTGGAGGTTCTAGCCAGAGCTATTAGGCAAGAAAAAGAAATTAAAGGGATACAAATTGGGAAGGAAGAACTCAAACTATCCCTTTTTGCAGATGATATGATTCTTTGTTTAGGGGACCCAAAGAACTCTACTAAGAGACTATTGGAACTCATAGAAGAGTTTGGCAATGTGGCAGGATATAAAATCAATGCACAAACATCAACAGCCTTTGAATATACAGGCAATGCCACGGCTGAGAAATAACTTCTAAGATCAATCCCATTCACAATAGCCACAAAAACAATCAAATACCTTGGAATAAACTTAACCAAGAAAGTTAAAGATCTCTACGATGAAAATTACAAAATCTTAAAGAAATAGAAAAGTATACCAATGAGTAATTTTAATGCCTTTAGACTCCACCTCTCTCTTCCATTTGCTATGATTTCCTAAGAGATTGACAAGATAAATGTAATTTTTCTTGCAGAATTCTTCTATTACTGTTTTCACGTGTTTCTATATTTTCTGTGCAGATGGAGGTGCTGTACATATTCTTATATGTTCTCCTGATTTTGTGATCTCATAAAAGCTCAGTAGAGTGCTTTGTTCTTTGCAGTGTCCTCATGTTCTGGTATCAAGATGCCCTGCTGGTGTGTTCTGCAGAGCTGCTCAATCTTTCCCAGGTGCTGCCTCCATTTCTGGTCGCATGTTGATGATTATGTGGTTCTTGCTGTTTTCAAAGCTTCCACCAAAATCCAGCTTTGCAAAAACAATTATCTTTGAAAAGAACATGTAATATTGGTGATTTTAATTATACCTCAGTAAGTTTGACTTTGAAAAGGACTGACATTTACACATTTTTGCAGAATGAGAGTACCAGAAACTCATTCATTTTTGATGGCCACATAAATAAGATTAAAAACTTTGTAAAATCACTTGGCTGTGTCTACTAACAACCACAAATACAAATATTCTGTGATCCAGCAATGCCATGTTTAGCTATATGCCCTAGACCTGTGCTTTGCAACATGATAGATATACACCACATAGAGTTATTGGACAACTGAAATGTGATTTGTTTCACATGTTGTATAGATCATATTTTTCTTACATTTGGTTAAAAGATATTAAAATTATTTGCAGTATTTTTCATTTTACTTTTTAGAATGTATATACTATAGGGGCACACCTTGTGGTGTATTGAGTTAAGCCATTGCTTGAGACACTCAAACCTCATGCTGGAATGCCCAGAATCAAGTTTTGCTTCTTTTTCTAATACAACTTCCTGTTAATGCCCACCCAAGGAGACAGAAGATGGTGACTCAAGTGCTTGGTTACCTAGGACTAAAATGGGACAATTGGGTGGAGTTTCTGGCAACACTTCAGTCTGGCACAGCCCCTGCAGAAACATAGCAAGTACTCCAGGTTCTCCAGTAGATTCCATTACACTTTTACTTATTGCTGCCTCCTCCCTGAACTCTTTACCCTGCAAAGACAGCTACACTCTCCCTACTCTTTGCTGTGTTCCCTAAACCCATAAGAGGGATAGGCCAGCCATCACTAACCACTTGCATTTGTCTACAGATTTGATAGCTTAGCTTGTTGGATGCAGACCATGTTCGAGTTATAAACAGATCATGAGTCTGTTTGGATCTCATGGGTTCTGGAAGGATGTTTGATATTTACAAGAGAAATGACTGTTGCTTACTCTCCAGCAATTTTAACACCAAACAGATCACCTATGTTGTCTAAAGACCCAGGGATATCAAAAGGGGTCCAGACATAATTTGCATGCATGGTTGGCAATAGAGACAAGGAATCCAGAGCACTAGTCCAGCAGCATGAGCAGCTATACACATCAAAGAAAATAACAAATAAGTGAGTTCATATCCACAGTGCTCCCTGAACCAGCTGAGCTCCTTAAGCATCCAGGACTTCATCACAACACACACCAGACTCACAAAGTAGACAGGATTTGTGAGGCCAGACATACACCCAAATGCACAACCCAAGCACCCTGCACAGTATGTAATATCAACCACAGTCACTCCATGCATCCCCATCTTATTTCTTTTTTTTTTTTTCACAAATAGGACATTTTATTTGTCACTATTAAAGTCTAATTTTTAAACAGATTCTTGGACGGGTGGTTCGTAGCCATCAGCTCGTTCGACTTTTGCACCCGTCTCATCCCCAGTGGCTTTTCCAGAACTGCTACCTTCTCCGTGAAGCTCCATGAGTTTTCCCAATTCAAACTTGGGCTTCTTCAGCATCTTCACTTTTCTAACGAAGACATCATGGAGAGGATAAATAGATTGGCAAGCCTTCTCTATGTCTTTCCCAATGCTGTCTGGGATCAATTTATTGACTACTTCTTTCAAGTCATTTGTTTGCACCTCCCGTGTCATGATTTCCATCATCTTCTTCCGGATCTGGCGGACCTGCTGGTGCTGAGCATAGGAAGTCTTCCGTATCTGATTGTTGCATTTTTTGGTAAAACCAACACAGAACAGATGAAGCAAATAGCCGTCGGTAGTCTTGACATCAACATGAGCTTCAATCATGGTCTGCCATTTTTTGACCATGGAGCACATTTTGTCCCGGGTAAGATCCATGCCGTGGAAGTTAGTCAGGCAGTTTTTGCCCTGAACATCCTCCGTAATCAGTTTGAATTTTCTAAATGCAACTTCATCGTTCTGCAGGTCAGCAAGACTCACTTCAAAAACACGCCCCTTGAGTCCATCAGACGCAATTTTGGTTCCTTGGGTCCTTGTGACCAGTGTTTTCCCAATATTTCGTATGTTGAACATAGCAGGTGCCTTCACATCATACCAGTCTTTCTTAGAAAATGGGTCCACCACTTTCTTCTTGGCTCCCTTTTTGCCGCCTTTCGTAAGGCGCTTGTTCTTGCCGACCGCCATGGTGGTGCTCAGAGAGCCAAAAGGGGCCCCATCTTATTTCTGAAGTTTTCAGCTCCAGGACTCCAGCTGAGTCCCAGAAAGCTATGCAGTGACCTCTATTTCCATGAACATGGCCATGGCTGTACCCAAAATGCACATGTCTCTCCCTCAAATAATGGTACCCTTTGGAACTTGGGACTGACTGCCTGAAAGACCCTGTGGACAGCAGAGGGGTTACCTCAGCCAGTAGAAGGCTCCTCTGCTGGAAACAAACTCCATGATGGGATCAGTAATATGACTTCAGACTGGATAAATAAGAGATGTTACTGAGTCTCTATGATTTGGCTGCTTCATTATATAGCTCAACTGTAGTTGTATATTTGGTGATGTCAAGTTGGGAGGCACAAAATCACTTATAATTCTTAAATCATCTTAATAGATGCAAGATTTTATCAATATTAAATTATTTTGTCTCTAAAAATGCTTTGACCTTGAAGTCAACACTTTTTATCTTTTTGGGGGTTACTTTTCAAGAAAGTAAATTTGTCCAAACATGTAAGTATATAAATGAATAGCATCTTTTTTCCTTGTAATCTTATTCTTGCATTTCACATTTGTATCTCATGATTAACACTTGAAATGTGCCCAGGGCACATGCCCATGGCCAATAAATAGCAGTGGAGGTGGACAAAAGTAGTTTTACAACTGCCCTCAAATGTCCTAACAGCACTCTGGCCTCATAATCAGCCCTTAAGGCATGTGGATCCGGCTGAAATGCCCATGAGAGTATTTCAGGCATGGAAAGCCAAGACACTCTGGGGGAAAAAAAAAAAACCTAAATGAAAGATCTCCATGAGTGAGATCCCAGTGGAAAGAATGGGTCCTAAGTGTCATGGCATCTGGTATATTATGGTAAATGATGCTCGAGTGCCTAAGACAGAGTGAGTGTGCTAAGCCTGCAGCCATGTTGGATGCTTCTATTCAGCACAATCTTGGCAACTGCATATCAGGTGTGGGGTTTGGGGAGTGAGTGTCTTCAGCAAAGTTGATGATGGAATTCTCTGATCCAAGAGCTTGCTAGTTACCAGCCTACCTTTCCTCTACTCAGAGATTTTTGTACAATGTTTAAAAGAGTTCAAGAGAAGAAGGTCAAGCTGCTGTAACTTCATGCTATGGCAGGGTATTGTCACTGTCTAGACAGGGAATGAAAAACACTTACTAACTGACCCAGAGATTTCATTTGATGGGCTAGAGGCATTCTACACCTGACAGTGAGCAGAATTTCTGCCTGACCAACACTGTTTAACAAACTGTTGAATTCTCAAACAATTCAGAAGAGTACAACAGAAAAGACCAAGGGTAAGAACATTTTACTGCTTCACTGATGGTAGAAGATCATGGAACCACCTAGCTTGGTCAACACCTTGGGATAACTACCACTCACTTAAATACTTATAATCTAATGCTATAAGGTTATGTGATTATCAGAAGAGACATTTTTATTAAACATTTGTTTATTTGAAAGACCAAAAGACAGGAGAGCAGAAAGCAAATGATGTTCCATCTGCTGGTTCATTCCCCCAAGAATGAAGAGGGCCAGGCCATGCCAAAGCCATAAGCCTGGATCTCATTTTTAATGTTCTACAAGATTAACAGCAGCCCAAGTATTTGGGTCATAGTTTATGCTTTTCCAAGCATATTAGCAGAGAGCTGGATCAGAGGCAAAGCATCCAGGATATGAATTAGTGCTCTGATGTAAGATGCTGGCCCATCGGGCCCTAAGACCAGCCCCAGCTCAGGAGATTCCTAAGCAAAGTACTGAAATAATGGTTTTTTGCCTCTTGGATGCTTATAGGAAAATGCAAAATGAGCAATATAGTAAAGAAAGTATTGATAGGAAAACAGTATAACAACAGAAACGTTTGGGAAATTTTCAGCCTTTCTTTATTACAAACTAAGAGAATGCAAATTGGTAACAGAACATCAGTGGAGCTGGCACTGTGGCTTAGATGGTGAAACTGCCACCTGCAGTGCTGGCATCCCATATGGGCACTGGTTCGATTCCTGGCTGCTCCACTTCCAATCCAACTGTCTTCAATGGTTTGGGAAAGCACTGGTTATGGCCCAAGTCTTTGGGCCCATGCACTCATTGGGTGACCTGGAAGAAGCTCCCAGCTCCTGGTTTTAGATATGCTGAGCTCTGGCCATTGCAGCAATTTCAGGATGAAGTAGCAGATTAAAGGCCTCTCTCTCTCTCTCTCTCTCTCTCTCTCTCCCTGCTCTGTGATTCTGCCTTTGAAATAAATAAATAAATCTTAAAAACTGTGTTTATATATATATGTACATATTTGTGTGTGTGCCATATATAAAGTTCAGCAATCACTGATTTCTGTCTGGTAATCCATAAGACAATACACATTTATAACATAAATAGGTTTCTCTTTTCTTTTGAAAATTCCTAGAATATTTAGCTATGTCCAGGACATCATTCAGAACCACAAAGTGGTGAAGATAGTCCACTCCCCAGCAGCTGTTTGTCCTGGATTTTCTCAAAAATCTAATTTTTATTTTTGGAGCATAGAATGAGAGAGAGAAAAAGAGAGAGACAGAGAATCTATCCACTGGCTCACTCCCCAAATGTCGATATCTGCCAGGGCTGGGCCAGGCCAAAGCCAGGAGCCAGGAGACTCAGTTCTCCTGTGTGAGTACAAGGTTTCAAGCACTCAGACCATCTTCTGTTTCTTTTTTAGTAACACCAGCAGGGAGATGGATTGGAAGTAGAGAAGCTGGGACTCGAACTGGTGACCACATTGGATGCTGATGGTATAGGCAGTGGCCTCACTGACTACACCACTGTGCCAGTCCTTAGAACTAGTT